CCCGTCAACGGAGGAGATTCTGCGGTCTGTGAGCTGTAATGGTTTACGGAATCCATGGGGCGTGGCTTATATCCGTATCGGAGCGTTAGTATCTTGGGGTTTTTTTTTTTTTTTTTTTTTTTTTTTTTTTTTTTTTTCGCTTTGCGATCTCCCCTCCTTCGCGTGTTGCCTTTCTGTCCTTCCTTGACCCTTTTCAGGGGGTTTTGTTTGCGTTGGAACGTTGGTGTGACAAATCTCCTCGTTCGCCGTTCAACCCCCGTCGCAGATATTTTGAACCCCTTTCAACTGCAACCTGTCCTTGTTTTGGGGCTGGGGAGGAAATGAGGGTCACTCAGGTGATGTGCATGTACTGTACATGTACTAATTTACTTATATATACATACATTTTCCAGCCGACCTTGTTATCAACTCCGCAAACCCCGAACAACAAGCCCTTCGGGTACTCATATTTCCCGAAGGAACTGTGTCCGACGCCGGTAGCGTGGGCGCGGAAGTTAGGAAACATGGTGTTCCATAAGGAACATGACAAAGTAAGTGTATTATTACTATTTATCTGCCTTCAAGCTCTGCTTCTCCCTCGGTTCTTCTTTCAAGTTTGACTCTTTTGCTTTTTTATTCATTGGGATGCGTGGGATTTGGATGGAACTGATTTTTTTGGCACTCTTTAATTCTTTTTTCAGGGCGGTCATTTTGCTGCGCTTGAGCAACCGCAGCTGTTCATGGAGGATCTGGAAGCGTTTGCTGCGGTGGCTTGGAAATGCGCAAGTGGTGCAAAATAACCAGTGGAGTATATAATATAGGTAATAGGTAAAATTTGCCCCTCTCAAGGAAAAAGCTGTGTGGATAACAATGGGAATTGGCCGCTATGGAGAGGAGAGAGAGCTTTGTCCCGGATCAATGAAACACATGATGAAACACATGATCACGTCAAGCTGAGAGCTGATGAGAGGAGAGACGACAATTGGATGTAACTAGGCCAGGTCTACTCAATTATCATGGCATACGGGTTACTATTGTGATATATATGTATAGATCTCGGAAACATAAGGAAGAAACGGCTTAAGAATGAAAGAAAAGAAACAACGGAAGCTGTATAAAGGTGGGTAGGAAATTTTAAATACTTGCGGTCGAGTTTCTGTAAACATAATTAGACCACGCGACCCCAACGCCTATACCTACCTAGGGATATTGATAATGGATCGTTGCCATCACTCAAGAGCTTCCATCAACCCACCTTTCTTTGTCCTCCAGAAATAGTGATAATAATAATCAATATAAACCTATAAACTTATATATTAAGGAATTTATATATATATATCCTAAAAACTCCGGTCTTCTCAGTAAAG